GTGTAATACTGTCAGAAGAACAAAGACCTTTTGTTGTTTGCTCAAATCAAGTCATGATGCCTGCGGGACAAGAGGCTGGGGGAGGGTTAGACAGCACAATGGATTAGTACTCTAGGCGTGAATATTTAGAAAGTCAGGAAACTCCAGAACTGCAAAGGGTAGGTATTTGTTCAATTCTTCATTGTATTAGTCATCTGGTTTATCACTCTCCTCTGACCAGCATAACTGAAACAAACACTGGACTCATCTGCAAAAGCAAAACCAAGAATAAGGACTGCTTTTGCTTGGCCTGGTGTCGTTCCCAATCTGGAGTCTGATACACGTCTGCTTCATGCAGCATTCAAGTCCAGCTGTGCAGCATTGCTTAGCATGTGCCTCCAACAATGCAGCCAGCAGCTCCTACCTGGTCCTAGCACAACCTCTTGGTATTTTGATTCCTTTTAATTTTTTCTAGTCAGGCAAAACAATAATAATGAACATCTGCAGAGTCCAGGAGAACAACCTTGAGTAATTAATAAGAAAAGTAATAATTTTAATCAGTCTCTGAGGCTGTGTGCACAGTTGTATCTCTACATGTTTGTCCTGTGAAAGGCACAGCACTGAGGCCATGTAACCTTAGTTGTGGCTATTTAGATCCCCTGGGGCTAAAACTATCCATTCCCATTTGGGCGTGGTCCTTGCTCAGGACTTCTAAGCCAACAAGGTCAATTTGATCTATCTTCACCTCCTCCTGACATTTAAGAAAGTGTCTTCTTTTTTGTGTATTGGTGGTTTTGTTTGGTTTTTTTCCCCCCTTGGTATCTACTACTTACAGATACAGACTGATACTATTTAAAATTTTTTCCAGCTCTCCTCCTTGTTTACAGGGTGTTTCACATCTGATGGAGGTTTTATATGATATGGTCTCCATCTTGAGTATATTTAATTTATTTTTCAGTCCTGTTGCTATACATTGATTGGTAATCACTGGGCAGAGATTTGCCTTGCGCAGTACCTGAGTTCTGCCCAATCAACCCTGTGTACCATGTGCTCCCGCACAACACTTTGCTCCACTCCAAAAGCCTGCACAGCAGAGCCTCTGGAGGACACAGTTCCCAGAGCCACAGCAGATAAACAAGTCCAGTTTTGGCTTACTAATAACCCAATTGCACTGACCATACAATACATTGTTAGCCTGTCAGAAACCCAGCACTTTCATGTGATATCCTAATCAGTTAGATCTGCAACTGAACTCCAGACTACAAATTTATAGCCAATGGCAACAACCATATCATGGCTTTAAATCAACTTTTTTGTGTGTGTGTATTATAACATTATTATTGTTTTAAGGGAAGGCACTATGGAGCCAAAATCAGCATGTCTGATTAGCAAGAGGGACTACATATTCAGTTCAAAGAACCCTTTTACGTTATCTGATTCTAATAGCACTAGTAACAGAGCCTAATTTAACCTGTCACTTCAAGAGCTATAGGGAGAACAAATTGCTGTCAATGGGGTAAGGGTCTGGAACAGCATGCAGCCTGTCCTCTCCTGACATCCTACTCAGCAAATTCCTCATAGATTTCCTCCTGATGTCAGTAAAACTAACATAAAGGTTATTTCATAAAATCTTATGTGGATTGCTAACTTGTGAAAACTGAAGGACCCATGCCCAGAACAACAGTACAGACTCAAGTAAATAATCATAGCATTTGTCCTTTGTGCTTAAAGCTTAACAAATCACTGAAACAGAAGAGGGGCTGAAGAGTTCCCATGCCAAGTACTGATGCTGTGAGCACATATTGAAATGAGTAGCCAATAAATGTCAAAATCAAGGTGACTGATTATATAAAGTCTTCTTATTTGACTGGGAAACTGTTAGGAACAGTTTCCAGTTTAATAGGCCATATGATAAGGGTTGGGGGAAAAAAAGTAGAGTTAAATGCTAAAGTCATTATAAATCATACCAGCTATTTCTTCAGGGAACACAATCCCTTCAGCAGATCAGGAATGCTGTAAGATACAGAGACATGGTCAGGGCTGACGGCAGGAGGTCATTTGTTACCAATGTTAGACTGGCAGTGTCCCCAGAATCAATTTTGGAACCTTGGTGAGAAAACAGATCAGCAAAAATGTTGGGATTTCGATATTTGCATATCGAAATAATGTCATGCAACTGCTCAGAACCTTTTCTTCTTTATCACGATGCCATCAGAAATACAGACGGATATCCAGAATGATAATACTACGCACTCCTTTCCAGCACACAGTATTTCGGCCAAGATCACTGGTATGTTCTGGCTGCTTCACGCTACTCTAATTAAAACTCAGTCATCCTTACAGCTGCTTTATATTCCTAGAGCACTGCACAACAGCTGGATCGTGCCGTTGATTTTGGCCCTTTAACTCCTTGGAAATTACTGTGTGAATATCAAAACTTTGGCCCTTTCTATCACCATTTAAGCTTCCGTCACCTGCATCTCTGGCTTCAACACGGGACACCTTTGCATTTGGATAACATATTGGAAAAGTATCAACACTATAAGGGAAGACAGAGTAAGTCTTATTGTTATGTTGATTTTGGCAGGCTTTGACAAAACAAAAGGCTTTTAGGGGCATTTCCCCCGAGAGCGACAGATTGTCTGCCACAGTCACTGCCCTGTAAGACTTCTGCAAAATGAATCTGCAAGTTTAAAAGAAATTTCGAAGGAGGCCAAGTTGGATCTCCTTTAACGAAAATCATATTCTAATTAGCCAGATGATACAAAACACCAAGTCAATTCATTAAGCTGATTTGTTGCTGTTTTATTGAATTTTGGAAAAAAAAAAAAAATTTGCATCTGTCTTTTGTGGGCCTATATTGATTTGCATGAAGTAGAAGCACACTTTAAATATTCATTCCTAATTTCTCTGTTAACAGGCTTATAAGCCCATAGTCAACTGCTTAGTCTTTACATGGCTTCATGAATTGTTCTTTCAGCTCCCACAGGGGCAGATGGATCAAAATGGCTGTCTTGAATTATGATTTGACAGGGTGACACGCCACTATTTGTGAAGTCTAACAAATTCAGCTAACTGCATCTGGGTGATTATGTAGTGCTTCAGGTGGATGATGTGTCTCAACTAGTCATGGGTTCAATTTAAAATTAATTGTGCACCTTCGGGTCTAACAGTTGAGTCATCTTACTACAGAGAAATCATTAACATGGCATGTTACTAAGCAGAATACTGTAATATAATAATCTGTTTTCCACTGGAAAACATCTACAAGACAGTCTTTAAATATTTATTCTTAAAACATGTAGGATGTCCTAGAGCTATGAAACCATTCACTGCAAGCCATAAAAAATAGGTTTGGTTTAGAGATGAAAGTGGCTGGAGGCTGTGACCCACAGGGACTCAGAAGGAAGCACTTAGAAAATAGAGACAGATTGAATCCCAAGTGCTCTCTCCCAAGAGGAAACATGGTTGGAAAGTTTAAAACCCATTAAAGTTAAACAAATTGAGAAGCCCTATCTGAGAGGAAACATAGTACAGTGTTTATTTTTCCATTACAAACCCCTAACCTAAAAGATTTCCTGAGGTTCTCAGGTATTGTTCATGCTTATAATGGAGTTCTGTTTTTAGAAAGTGTAATTCATGTGTTTAATCCAAACTGTTTGATGAAAAACACACTGCATAAACATTCAGGAAGCTAAAGGCCATTGTATACCTGTATCACGTATTGTTTGGATAGGAGCAGACCTACAATGCAAGGAATTTCTGTGAAACTCTCTTGCTCGAAAACACTGGATCTAATTTTCTCTCCATTTATGCTGGACAAGTTCCACTGAATTAACGAAGACACGAGTATCAAGTGATAATAAAAAGACAATCTTCCTGCTGAGTGTGAAACTACAGAAGTGCAAGGCTAATGTGAGCAAGAGATTTATAACACTGGCTTGAGTCAAGTAAGTAGCAAGCCATAGCAGGCCCAGTATAATTCAGCCAAGCTGATTAGTCAGTGTATTTTACATTTTGCCCCATCACTAGTGGACTGCTGCTCTGAAATCCTTATCAGAAAAGTGTGAGAGATTATTGATGTTGAGAAGCATCTGTCTGACTAATGAACAAGCTGCAAGCTAAATCCAGAGATAAATTCAAGTCAGAGGAAATACTTGGAAACAGTGGAATATTATTCATTAGATCTATTGATATAAATATTTAGCAATACAGTAGGTCAAGTGATAGAGCTAAGAAATGTTTGCTGTCATGGTCTAAGACTGCAGGTGCTTAAGAGGACAGATATGAGCATTCCATAACCATGACCTGACATTTTAGAGATACCCGAATCTTCTGGAAAAACTGCATTGATCTTGCCCATTTACCTCTCAGTGATTTCATGCTTTCTGTGCTCTTTTTTCAAAATTCTTTTCAACTTTCCTCTCTGGCACTTACTAATAATTTCATGCATTATTTGCCAACTGATTTACTCTGCATTCCCCATTTTTCTTCATTACCTGGAATAAAATCATTGCTTCACTAAGAGAAACTACATAGTGACCTTTGTCAGGCATTGTCATTCCATTGCTGTGGAGAATTTAAACTCAAGGAATATGCTTTTCTAAAATTTAATTGCATTTCTGATTGTCAAGTAAACCCCATGTTAAAATAAGAGCTACTTAACAACCTGCTTTGTTTTGCAGTGTTGAGTTGTAAATGATCAAAATGTCAACTGAAGGAAAGAAAACACTGGAACATGTTATTTACCATTTTCCTGCGTCACTTTTAATTTCCATAGATTTAAATTCATATTAGCATTTTGGCTCGCTGAAAATGGTGGTTACCCTTACTTTAGGACTTTGCTTCTGCCACACACAGATTGGTTAAAATGGTTGAGCTTTCTTCCACAGTCTCTTGAGCATCACAGTATTTTCAGTTTATAGCATACTGTTGTTCTTTCCAAAGGCAGTATTTCCACTGTGGCTTTTTTTGTAAATAATTTTGTTTATAAATGCATCTTTATGTTTGTTTCTTTCTAGGCAGGGATGAGATCCCGAAACCAAGGTGGAGAAAGCTCGTCTAACGGGCACTTCTCCAGTTCCAAGCCTGTCATCAGCCATGCAGAGAATGAAAAACTTCAGGAGGATGCCAAGAAAAAGAACAAACCTCATCGGAAGGAAGATGAGGTCATGGCTTCAGCAACTGTCAAACGGCACTCAAAATCACCTGGACCTTCTGAACGAAAGAACAAGAAGTCCATAGAGCTTTCTAAAGAGGACTTGATAAAACTGCTTAGTATAATGGAAGGAGAATTGCAGGTAAATTAAATATATTTTAAACCATATTTTCTATGTAGCTATTTTTTTTTGGGTTGTCCAAAGAGCACAGGACTTAACAGACAGGGACATGTAAAGTAAAGGCAAAGGATTGCAAGGAGAGAGCTGTGGTTGGTGTTTAACAGTTTTAAGTGCTACTTGATTTACCATCTCTATCTGCAGCTACCAAAGCAAAATAAATTATAAACACCTGTCAGAATTCACAAGGAAATGGGGATCTGCAGGTGAGGCAGAAAACAACCACAGGGGAATCAGTTGCAGATGGTCGGAAAAAAGGGAGGGGCAGGAGAAGCAAATATAGTGAATGCAATTACCATCATTAATGAAAATATTCAAGAGACAAAATCTGCAAGTCAGTAATACTGAAAATGAACTTAAGATGTCCCCTGGTACTTCTGCATATTCAGATGTTGCTGAGGGCTCAGCCAAATCTCTGCATATCCCACCTGGTGTCCAGCACCCTGCACATTCTTTGCCTTTCAAAGATCCATTAGGTTTCTTTCTGGGAGTAGTGCTTGCTTGAAAGCTTCCTCAGCTGTCCCTGTTTGAATGTTAATTCTGCCCAGTAGTAAGTCCTTGATGGCAGTCAGTGCTCAACTTGTCCCCCAAATGTCTGTCCAGTTTTGAGATTCTCTTTAATGCTGATAAGTCACTGAACTCTCAGTAGTGTCAGCCTTCAGGGAATTTCAAAATAAGGAGCTGAAACATGGTATTTCAAATAGTCCATATGAAGACTTCTGACTTTTTGAGACTTACCCCTTCTGTGGTAGGACTGCTTACCAAATTTATACATTCTTTTGGTTGTGCTTTAGTGATATTATTCTCTGAACCTATGGACAGGCAGAAAAATGCTGTCCAACCTGTGTGAAAACTTTTTGTCTTAATCTTTTCATTCTAGTTAACCATTATTATTTAGCATTTCATATAAGGTCTTATTATCCCCTGAAACCCACGTTCATAACATTTGTACTTCAATTTTGAACTTGTTACCATCTTAGCTGATTACAAGAAGCGTATTGTTAATTTCTTTGGTACATGAGTCACCTGAGTTGTACCATTACGACAACTATGAGATTCCATCTCATCAAGTGTTATTAGGTATCACTTTTTCTGTACATATTTCACCTCTGGTTTGTCAGAAAGTACTTTCAAGTTACAGGTAGTATGCATTCAAAAGAAATAATTTTGTCAAAAACAGAAAATGGTCATTTTACAGTGAAAAACTGCAGAAAAAAAAGGGAAGGAAATCTGTTAAAATTGCAATTTTGCAAAGGAAAAATGGAATTGTCATTATAGAACAGTAACCATTTTTAGAGTCTTTCATTTTACTTCATACAAGAACTTGTACGTATCACTTCTTCTTTAAAGATGGAGCTAGCATGTAGCTTCTGTGGTGAATAGAGTCAAACGTCAAGAGAAATGTATCATGCTTGTGTTGTTCAGAAAGAATTTACCCTGAAGTCACCTTTGTGGTCTGGAAAGGGGAGGTGAAAAAAGTCACTAATATTTCCAGTGCGGCAATAAATGTGATCTTTATTATTTGAGTAATTCCCCTGTTCTTTACCATAGGCTCTTACTTCGTGGGGTAGTTACAGAACCTTCAAAGAACTGCCCATGTTCTCATAATCCTTATGGAGATGGTGGGGATAGCTGCAATCTGCGCTGTGCAACGTGGGCTGAACATCCTCAACAAGTTGATACTTCCACTGTCCAGGATAATACTTTTAGGTATATTCATACATAGAGACCCCACAGAGATGCTAGGCACTGCTAAAGCTTCCTGACATGACAGGAGGACTGTGGGGACAACCACACTGGTAGCCATAGAGTGTGACTGTTCTCCTGCTCCTTGTGGCCACAGGAGTTTTTAATTTCATTTCAAACCCCCCATTTTAGTTTTTTTCCCCGGTACCTGTGTTGACCCATTTCTGAAGTGGGCAAGCTTTGGCTTGAGATGAGGGCCTGGCTTTAACAGTACAAATGGAGATGACCCAAGGAAGAGTTCAGCCAAAGTAGATAGTCTGGTATTAGCTCCTGGCTGTCACAGGGACTTAATGCACTGAGTCATTTCATGGTTTTTTATTTTCAGATCTGTTTGGACATCTCTGGTGGCTGGCTGGTGTTTTGTTAGACTGACAAATCAGACTGTGGGTTTATTTTGAAGCCATTTCAATGCTGGCAAAACAAACATTATATAGGCACATATGGAAGAAGACTTTGGTTTGAGAATACTATCAGGTTGTATCTGTAGGGAGATCCATTATTTTTTGAATTAAAAAATGGGACAAAATACCATGACTGTTTACTGAGCAACCATGGGCAGGGGGCATCTTATGCCTGTACCACCAAACAGTAACCCGCAAACAGTGAGCTCAGCCATGAGAAGTAATCTGATCATGGCAACCATGGGGTTAGCAGGGTAAACTGGTAATGTACTCATGTGTATCATGAGCTTAGTTCACTATTCACATCACGTAACAACAAAGCAAACATAGATCCATGCCACATTGATGTTGGTATCAATTTTGAGTCCTTACTTTAGGACTTGACCCCACAGGTCTTCATTTTGAAGGCAAACATGCCATAAGACCATGGGGATATACCCTGGTAGTGATGTTTTATGTCATCATTTTTAACTGTATTATTTTTTAAATAATGACCTGAGGTAGCTTGCCTGTGCTTTAGCTTCTAGGACCAAGCTGGACTCAGCTCTTCCTGTTTTCAGGTTCCCTGGTTAGACCCTGTAAATTTACTGAATATAGAGAATGAAAGCTTTTCATAAATGTATGAGATCACTGTAGCCTATTCCTTATTTTGTAAGAAAACGGAAGGGGAGAAGAAGTATACAGAAGCTGCAGTGATGTGTCCCAATATACGTGGAGCTGGAGTGCTCCAAAGTACAGCCTCTCTGAAGGAGAGTGGGAAACAAATGAACTGATGACAGGGATTGATTTTAAAGGCCTTATAGCTCAGTGGAGTGTATTTTCTCTTGTGACATCCAACTGCTCATATAAAAAAAGCAGTGATTACATGGTCTTTAAATCCATATTGAGTATATAGGGGCAAAAAAATCCATGAAGGATTTCTGCCTATAGCTGGAAGAGAAATCTAATTTTTAAATACTGCAAAGCTGATTTGAAAAGAAAACTTCAAATACCTTAGAATAAATTAGACCATGAAGGTATGGCATTAATTTTCCTGGTTGTTACAGTTATTTCAGTCAAACCCACATGTGAATATTATTAATTACAGAGCAACACAGGCATTGTGGATGGTTACAATGATAATATAGTCCTATCTGTGGTTCACAGATTTTTGTCCAGTGGCCTATGTATTTGTCCTGGCAGGAATATATTCCCTTTCTGTATGCTTTCTGAGCAGCAACCATTAATCTCCAACAATACCAACACTGATTTTCCACATTTCCTGACTGGGGGCCCAAAAGGAAATGAGAAGCAGTATTCAAACATGTTTACCATTCACTCTTCTATTGCATGTTTGGGAAAAAAAAACCCAACACAACAGAATAATACAGCTATGTTTATGAAGACAGCATCCCACTACAAACAACTAAGTTTTTCAATACAAATAATTTCTTAGCCATATTCTGTGCCTATTGCTGACAATTTAAGCTTGGGAGACAGTCTGCTATATTTCACACCAATTTAAATACGACCAGCATTTCCACTTGAGGCCTTTATTACAGTCAGTGTTTTACTGTGTTTCTCCAGTGCAAACATGGCATTCATCCCCTTCAGCTCATCCACCCATTCCTGTGGAGGACCCTTGAACGCTTCAGGGCTGAGGGATATGTTTCCTGAGAGACTGGCACTGAGGAGGAGCAGAGCTCCACAGCTAGGCAGCTCTGTGGCATAAGGAAGTGCATATTAAGTTGTCAGCTGTACATTTCCTCTGCTGCAGACCTGAGGATGCAGATGGGCAATATGTGAAATATGACATCTTGGGGAACAGTATGTATAATATATACCAGCGATATACAGATTAATCACAAGACACAGTTCCTGAGAAGCCTTCAGACTTCCACTGGGTTTGGTTTGACATTTGAAGGGAAACACTTTGTAGCAGATATTCAGAGGTAAACCTATTTGTATAGCATCTCTCCTTCAGAGGGAGAGAGAGAGAGACCAAAACACTCTGTTGAAGCCCTTTCCATTAATCTATATTTATTTAAGACTGCATTTAATGGTTAATTTGAGTGCCTCACACAAGGCAGGTACAGGAATCTGGTTGCTGGTGGTTGAAACAGGATAGTGGTGGGGGGAAGGAGCGTCTCTCCAACAGAGCCAGGAGGAGCTCACCTTCAGGTGGGCTGTAAGACTTTCTCTTTGACCTGGATGTTTCAGAGAATGGTTAGCAGAGGTTTGAGAGGAAAGTGTGTTTTGTTCTCTCTGGCAAGGTCCTTGTGAAACGCTTAGATCAGTGGTTGCACATCCTGCCATGAGAGAAATCCCGTCTCTTAAAAAAGACAGTTAACAGGTACTCACATGGGTATAGGTGATATACCTGTAACTACCTGTTGCATTCTAACATTTTAAAAGGTATTTTAGTATTTTACCATCTGTCTTTCTATCAGAAAACTAAGCTTTGTAAATGTAAAGGAAAGGAAAAAATCTTTACTCTTTCAATCTTTCTGCTTTTTACTTTCTTTCTTGTTTGTATAGCTACATATTTTAATATATTTTATTCTATAATCATTCTGTTCTGTTCTCTTTCCTAAGATCTAACTTTCTCTCTTCACTTTTTTCCCCCTTCTTTATCTGTCTAGTTGTGACCTTTTTCCTTATTCTACCTTTTTGTCACTTCCCAACGCAGCCTTTCCTCATCCTCATACTGCAGATGCATTGACTGACCTGAGAATCCTGGAGATAAAACTGTGGAAGATCTACTATAAATCAAGTCCCAGCAGCTAATTTTTTAAGGCAAACACTTCATTTAACTCTTGTAATTAATTTATTAAGCTG